ATTGATTTTCTGACATTTAGACCATTTCTATTGCTTGATGGGAAGAGAAGTAAATTAATCTCATTCCATTTTCTCCATTTTTCAACACACTGTTCATTACCCGCATTCATCAAGTTCAACCATTTCACCCTGTAAGTTATTGTGCGAAAAAACAGGATCAAAGTAATATTTTTTTCCTTCTGAATTTAAAGGGATAGTTCACCCAAAAATGAAAATTAGCCCATTATTTACTCACCCTCAAGCCATCCTAGGTGTATATGACTTCCTTCTTTCAGATGAATCCAATTGGAGTTATATTAAAAATTGTCATTGATCTTCCAAGCTGTTTAATGGCACTCAGCGGGTGTTGCAGTTCATCAGTCCAAAAGAAGTTAAATAACGCGCATTCATCCATATTAAAAAGGGTCTCACACGGCTCCAGGGGGTGAACATAGGCCTCCTGTAGCGAATCGATGCGTTTTTGTAAGAAAAATATCCATATTCAAAACGTAATAATCACTTTAATCTAGCTTGCGCCAACAGTTTTAAACAGAAGCAGCTCCAGGAGGATGACATAAGATGTCGGCGTTGCGCATGTGCCAGTGAGTCTCGTGAAAACCAACGTTTATTTACAGGAGCAAAGGAAGCAAAGTTTCCTTACTTTAGCAAAGGAAAACCAGTCTTCTCTTGGCTTATATCGAAATCCTCCGACATTCTTCTTTACAAATCCTCGTTTTGTACTTCTAATTAGTGACCGTTCTTTTGTTTTTGATCTCTCCCCTGCGCTTCTGCATTCGTCACTTCTGAGTGGCGCATGCACAACGCCGACGTCCTACGTCATCCGCCCGGAGCTGCTTCCGTGTACAACAGTGAGCACAAGCTAGATTAAATTGATTATTACGTTTTAAATATGGTTATTTTTCTTACAAAAAAGCATCGATTCGCTATAGGCGGCCTTTGTTCACCCCCAGGAGACGTGTGAGGTACTTTTTATTATGGATGGATGCGCTTTATTTCACTTCTTTTGGACTGATGCATGCAACACCCGCTGACTGCTATTAAACAGCTTGGAAGATCAAAGACAATTTTTAATATAACTCCGAATGGATTTGTCTGAAAGAAGAAAGTCATATACACCTAGGATGCCTTGAGGGTGAGTAATTCATGGGCTAATTTTTATTTTTGGGTGAACTAACCCTTTAACTAAATATAAATTTAGTAATGACTGCATGATTAGTCACAAAACATCTCTAACATACCGAGCGAGAGCTTATAACTGTGAAACACAGAAACTTTTAACCCTGTTACTCAATATGTAATAGATTTGTGTGTGTGTGTGTGTGTGTGTGTGTGTGTCTATTTTACTTTGGTGTTTATTCAAAACTAAATTGCCCATTTCAGCGCTTCACTCTGTATTCAGATTTGGTTTTGGTAACAGGGCTTCAATAACCACAGAAACTAGAAAATGAATAGAAAATGTCATAAAAACTGCTCATATATAATTTAGTTTATCCTCCTGAGGTTGAAAGTCAACATTTACGGTTTCAACAGTTTTTGAAAGTTATTTTTGCTCTTTGTAATTTGCAATTTAGATGTATAGAAACTCATTTAAGCATATACGAAGAAATTAACGACTGAATGAATGAATGAATAAAATAGCAACTAGTAGTAGATTTGGGATAGTTTTGGAAGATGAGACGACATGATGCAAGGTCTTTTTTCAGGAGGGTCAGTTGAGATACCCCAGGATGGTGCGTCAGTTCCATTACACCATTTGGCCAGATCACGGTGTACCGGAAACAACCCAATCACTCGTTCAGTTTGTGCGAACAGTCAGAGATTACATTGACAGGACAACCAGTCCTGGAGTCACTGTAGTACACTGCAGGTATCTGATTCTGTGTATCACCTAAACATCTTTAACAGACATTTTAGGGTGTTCACGTTCAAAATATATTTACAATGGATATGCTTTTCTCTCTCTCAGTGCTGGTGTGGGCCGAACTGGCACTTTCATTGTGCTGGATCGTGTTTTACAGCAACTTGACAGGAACTGCACAGTGGACATTTATGGATGCGTGTTTGATCTACGCCTGCATCGCTCATACATGGTACAAACTGAGGTATGAGTCTATCTGTATAGTGACATCAGCAATGTTTATATTGGTGTCAGACTACCACAGCTTAATGAAATAATTCCACTTGAAGTTAATCTAAAGTACTGCTGCCCTACACAGGCAAAACACAGTACCTATGGCAACACTGGAACTGAGAAAAATGGCTTTTTGATTGATTTTCTGTTGTTATAGTTGTAGTGTGGACTTCCCTGTTCTCATAGAATTAGAGTTGTCGTCTTTGGCATTAATCGGCCTTAAAGTTGCAATAGGCGATTGTCTTCAGAAAAATTGTTTGTTATGCTGGTTGAAAGTCTCTTCACATCCCCACAGCAATCGTTAAGTTAAGTGGTCTAAATGTATTTATATATTCTGTGGAAGGCGTAGGACCAAGAAATGGTCGTCAAATCAAAACGCTCGGTCCGAACATTTTAATTGACTTTCCTACCTGCCTGTCAACGTATGTATTAGCATACCTCTGCGCACCTGGTTCGCGCAGACAGGATACATCATCAGCACGTTCACGCACGTTGTGCAGACAGAGCGAGAATGGCAGGCAAACATCAACAACCCAATCTTCCTTCCTGGTATTGTAGTACTTTTAAAGTTTTCTCATCGGTGAATGACACATGATGTAGCCCAGCGGTTCCCAATTCCAGTCCTCGCGATTCAGATAACCAGCTCGTTAGTCTCATAGAATTAGAGTTGTCGTCTTTGGCATTAATCGGCCTTAAAGGTGCAATAGGCGATTGTCTTCAGAAAAATTGTTATGCTGGTTGAAAGTCTCTTCACATCCCCATAGCAATCATTAAGTTAAGTGGTCTAAATGTATTTATATATTCTGTGGAAGGCGTAGGACCAAGAAATGGTCGTCAAATCAAAACGCTCGGTCCGAACATTTTAATTGACTTTCCTACCTGCCTGTCAACGTATGTATTAGCATACCTCTGCGCACCTGGTTCGCGCAGACAGGATACATCATCAGCACGTTCACGCACGTTGTGCAGACAGAGCGAGAATGGCAGGCAAACATCAACAACCCAATCTTCCTTCCTGGTATTGTAGTACTTTTAAAGTTTTCTCATCGGTGAATGACACATGATGTAGCCCAGCGGTTCCAAATTCCAGTCCTCGCAATTCAGATAACCAGCTCGTTAGAAGTGAGGTACATGCATGAACTGTGTTCCGATCCATATGATCCCTACACAGTGTTTATTGCTCCCTCCTCCCTGAGCAGGGGAAATCCGTTGACGTTTACTTCACTTCGGAACATAGGCTGGAATTGGGAACCGCTGATATAGCCTATTGTAGTAATGTTGTCTCTGGTATTCTGGTCTGTGAGTGTAAATGCGTTCAGGGGGCGTGGCTTTGGACGACAATTGCAGGGAGGGTGGGACGTTCGCTTTCAGTGCTATCAGGCTAAAGTTAGCATTTTCCAAGATCTCCTACTGCACCTTTAAGTCACCCGATTTCAGTTTTCATAATTGCCACCCGAATAATTTCACAATAAATCACCCAGATTCAGTTTACATAGTGATTTCAGAATTGCATAATCATGTAGTTACGCTATTTTGCCTCTGTAGGTTTAATGAAATGTGTGCATTGGTTTATAAGCACCCTAATATCAGGGACTTCTCTTTTGCAGTCTCAGTATGCTTATATCCATCAGTGTGTGCGGGATGTTTTGAGGGCTCGTAAACTTCACTGTCAAGGAGATAACCCTCTTTTCCCCATCTACAACAACTTGTTATAAAGGTAAGTATGTGTTTGTTTCACTTAGACTTATATATCCATATTCCTATATATGCAGATCATTAAAACACACACACACACACACACACACACACATATATATATATATATATA